ATCTCCAACAGCAAGGCTTCCAAATAGACTAGGGAGAAAAGTAATAGCATGAATGATCTTCTAATCAAGGAATAATAAAGAATGAGAATCTACTGCAGTTCTGGAAGTTTTAGAAATTCTAGTGTACTTAATTCAGAAATTCACACTTACAGTGTAATCACATAGAAAGGAATTGTCTATAAGAAAAATCCTTCCAGATGTTGCTATCTGCATAACTCATGAAGAACATTGCTCCCTTAATGTGTATTCCGTACTTTGAAACTGGGAGAAATACATAAATCCAGACCTCAACCTCTTGTTTTCCCATGTGGTGATACAGGTATATGCACATGCTGGAGCAGCACTGGATGGGAAGATGTATATTACTTGTGGGAGGAGAGGAGAAGACTACTTGAAGGAGCTACAATGTTATGACCCAAAGACTGACCGTTGGGATGTTTTAGCGGATGGTCCAGTGAGACGTGCTTGGCACGGGATGGCTGCACTGCTAGGAAAGCTCTATGTAATTGGAGGAAGCAACAATGATTCTGGCTACAGAAGGGATGTTCACCAGGTGACAGCATGTCATACCTGTGTCTTTCTTGGAATGTCTTATGGATGCTTGCACTCTGGTGCAATGTCTTTCTCCTACTAAGTATGCAAATAAAACTGTCTGCCCAGCAACAGCTACTGCACCAGCTCTGCCCCACTCAATCGCAGAACTTGCAATGATTTATTTACTGCTGTCTGTCTGGAATGCATTGTCTAACTCGCAAAGCATTAAAGCTCTAAAGCTTGGAATTCTTATGAGTTTTTGATGGATAACATTCATTGTCATGCACATACCCAATAAGTAGCAAATCAACTAAATTTACTTTACATTGTCTTCTCACGTGCATTTTTTTCTAAGTCGAGGACTTTTGAATTACTAATGTGCAGTTGCAGGACAGAGTTGTTAAGGGTATGTTGGATGGCAGTTGTATAATGCAATTAAATGTGCAGTACCTGATGATAAGTGATGGCTGGAGAGAATTCTCTTGAGTCTTACTCCAGCTTCTAGAACTGCTAGCGACATGAAAAGAAGACATTATAAAACCAATGAAGATGGTAGAATTAAATCTAGCTGAAAACTGTATCTAAATGATAAAAAGGTGCTTACAAATAAAAGCAGTCAGCCAAGTAGGTACCCAATGAAATCTAAAACTTCCCAACATATGGTGCACAGACAGCTTAGCAGATTTATCATATTTGTATGTTCCAGCACATTTTTTCCTAATGCAAACAGATGCATTATGTCTGAGCTTATATTAGCATGTATCTCCATCTCATGCACTTTTGTATGCATTTTTTGAATGACATACAGCTGTTACTCCAGAAGCAGGGTCAGAAGTTGTGATTCAAAGCAATACGGCAACTATGCAGTTTTCTGCTGAGTACTGTACTTCTACTACATAGTGATACGCTCTCTCCATTATCAACACCCTGTCAAAAGACTGATGATACTGCGTGGCTTCCTAAAGAGTTTGCCATATGGCCAGTCTCTGTCACTAAGATACAAGTTCGATTTTGGCTAATCTCTTTTTCTTTTCTTTTTACAGGTTGCCTGCTATAGGCCCAGCACTGATCAGTGGACAAATGTATGTCCACTTCCTGCAGGACATGGAGAGCCAGGTATTGCAGTCTTAGACAACAGGATCTATGTCTTGGGAGGCAGATCCCACAACAGAGGAATCCGCATGGACTATGTCCACATTTACGATGCAGAGAGAGACTGTTGGGAGGAAGGACCCCAGCTGGAGGATGATATTTCTGGGATGGCTGCCTGCGTCCTCACTTTGCCCAGGGCTATTTTAATGGAAACAGAGAAATGGTTCTCAGAATGGCACGCAGACCGTGTGAAGTATCACCTTGACTTTCCATCAGAAGTTATGAGCGTATCAGACTGGGAGGAATTTGATAATTCAAGCGAAGATTAGAAAACTTTAATATTTATTTTTTGCCAGTGGATGAGGAAATTAAGGCTTGGAGAAAATAGTAGAGATTTTATATGACTTTCTTATATACATAAATCAGTATTTAAAGGTTTGAAAAATAAGTGTTCTGCACACAATGCCATTCACAGTCAATATCTGCCCATCTGCAAGTGTTCTGCACAAAATGCCACTTACAGTCAGTATCTGCCCACCTGCCAGAAAGCAGCATTCTTAAAGTAACTACAGAACTGCCATTTTCCCCCAGTTAAAGTACAGAGGTTCTTTTGCTCTGAAGGAGACTTTTCTCAGCCTTCAGCATGGACAGAAAAAAAAGGCACAGAAGGCTCAGCTTGACTAGCTTCTTTCCTTCCAGCTTTTAGCTTGAAATAGCTTTTTAAGATTTTTTTTTTCCCTTTTCTTTTTGGTAATAAAACTTCTTAGCCAGCTTAACACAGGAAGGTAACACCTAGTGTCTCCCTCCTGTGTCAGGTGTCAGACAGCTTGATTGGTTTTTCAGCAAGATTGAACACACAGAAACAGGAACAGGGGCAAGAAAGTCTGAACCTTCATCTCATCTGGGCATGCAGCCATCTTTATAACTGGGTTAGAGTCTGTGAACTGACACCCACTCCTGAACTTCTATACTGCAAGTTCTGTCAACACAGTGGAAAGAAGATTTCTAGAAAAAAACTCTGTACAGAATATGGCAATCTCATCATTCAACTGTCAGACACATTTGTTCACAATCATAAATTAATAAATTCTTGTCAGAACTTTTTTCTTTTTAAGTACTGTCTCAGTTTTATTAACCGTGATGTGGAATCTGAAAGTTAGTGAGCTTAATTAGATCTTACAGTACTACATTAGTATTAGTGAAGTTACACCAGCCTGGGAGATGGGCAATTTTTTTCATTCATTTATTACATGCTTTAGAAGAGGATAAAGAGAGCAAAGATTGGTTTGCCACAGCATAAGAAAAAAAGTAGTAAGGAGTTAACTAGAGGTATTGAAGATTACACTGGTCCAAGACCCTTCAGTAGCTGAACTAATGCGAGGAACATAATACAGAATTACTACAGCTCAGAAGGATAAGGCATAGTAAATCCTTCCTTCATGAGGCCTTACAATAATTTGCTTCTGACTACCATCTTGCTTAATATTAGTTTAGAAGCCGATTTAAATCTGAACCAGTGCGATACCTGAATAGTATGGGATCCTTCCTCTCGGAGGGGTGAGAAGTAATCAGTGCCACCAGAAAATCATTACAAACTACCAAAAGCTTTTAAATCTTGTAGCAATAATGGGGTTGCAGAAGGGCAAAACTAAAGTGACAATCAGAATGATATGGTACTACTCAAGTATCATCACATCATGACAAATACTGCACATTGACATGCTACTTTAGAGAAATGAAAGAAGTTCCTGGATTTTACCATTACTTAGGGATATTTTGTTTATGGAAACAAAGATGATTTCAAAATGGACCTAGATGACTTTACATTAGTAGACTGGGCTTCTGGAACAGATTCAAGAGTATTTGCACACTTCTTTTAAGAACCCCAACAGCTTTTTCTTGGTAAGAGGGGCATTTGTTGGATTTTTTTCTACAGCACCGTCAGTTTCCACCTCAATGTCTGAACCTTTGCCAATTGGCAAATAAAACAAAAGACCTGGTAACTGCAGGAAACCCTGATGATGAGCTTCTTCAGAAAATCTTTTTTTGATAATGAACTCTGAACTGCACATGGAGTCTGGAAATACAGACTTTATTACACTGCAATATTGGAGACTGACAGGTATTCCTATTTTGCCTACAGAGTTACTTTTAATGTGTAGGAATTAAACATAGCCCTCAGATCTAAGGACAGATCTCTCTGATCTGGGCATCACTAGAATCACTCCTTCCACGCTGCAAGTGTTGCAGTGGCAATTTGTTTTGTCTGCAAACAAGTAATTCAAGACTTCTGGTGGTCCAGGTCATATTCTAGACCCAGCTGTTCTAACTAAACCCAGACATCTATCTTAAATCTAATGCTTGCAGTGCATTTTCCATTTTAACTAGGACTTCTCGACAGACCAGTGATACTGATACCCTATGTTATACAAGTGAAAATGTTATTTAGCCTCTTTCATGATAATAGTCATTCTTTGTCTGGCTTCTTTTCCTATGTATACCACTAGAGGGTATTACTTATTATTACAAATAAGCAAGCTGATAGGTTAATTCTTAGATTACGTAGGAGAATACAAGACATTCATGAGTAATTATTAAGCTAAAGAAACATCTTGAGAAAACTCATGGCAGTTTTTTTTCCAGCTTCTACCCTATCACTCCTGTGTTTGAATACTGATTTTTAGATAGTCAGGTGATCCGTTTTTCCATTTACCAGTACATGCGATTTTGTGATTGCATTATTTATTAAATGTTGCGGTTAGATGCTATGCAAAGCAAATCAATATAAGACTTAGAATGCAGTTACAAGGAAATTACTTTTCCTTAAAGCAGATCATCAACCATACAGAGGAGTGCTGCATTATTTTTTCTAAATCCTGTACTCATAGAGATTTTAGGCTGATTCCGTTTTTTTTTATTTATAAATTCTCTGATCTCCTAAATATGTCAGACTTGTATCTTACAGTAAAAAGCATTCATTTTTTACAGCGAGTCCTCACAGACAATATAGCACAAGACATTGTGGACAGACGGACAATGAACTAAGAAAGCTTTAAGTTATTTCTGGTCTGTAAGAGAATAGCAAAACAACTCTTCCAGAACTGAGTAATCAAAATACCAACACTTGAACTGCTGATACATTAGGAAGTCTAGAAGAATAATAACTACGTTTCTTGATGATCTATTTTCCTATTTCCTGCTAGCACAGAGGTAAAGCCGTACAGGCATATTTGCTAGATTTGTAATTAGTGGACTCGTATCCTGAAGGATTTCAGGCTTCCACATTTGGAGAATTGATTGTGATTGCTTCAGTTTTTGTTTCATAACTGCTTTCACTACTGTATGTATTCTCCAGCTGTCTACCTCCAAATCCAACATATCCTTTCCCATTTCCTCATGGTTTAAGTTAGGGTCGTTAATTTCACATTGGATGCATACCCAGTACTTGATTTGAAACAAATAAGGATTCTCATTCTATCCCCTTGACAGAAATTTACTTCTCCTTACTTAGAGACCAGCCACATGTACAATTTATTTGGCATTCAGCCCAACTGATGGGGTCAGAAGCTTCTGGTGAAAGGAAGAAGGAGCAGCTGGCCAAGGGGAAAGAGGGACGGGACCTCCTCAAGGGAATATTCTGCCAACTGAGTTTTTATTTCATCAGCAGCTGATCCACTTTAAGAGCTCCCCACCTCTTGAGTTGTGCTACAACTATTTGGCCATGCTCTGAGGGTGGAAGCTGCCAACAGGTAAGACAAAGAGCATCAATGTATTTATATGTAATGAAAAGGTAAAGTGGTACTGTACGTTTACCCGTTCTTCCAAAACCAGATGCAGTTGTAGGGATGTAATACACCCGAGATGATAGTCTGTAGGTTAGGAAGCTAAAGGCCAGTCTTAGCAGATAACATTAATGATCTTGAACAAGTCACCCTTTTCTCATACGTAAGTAGAACATGGGATCTTTTACCTAGAAGATCTGGCCTAGTTCAACCACAGTTACTGAAACTGAAGGGGTAATTACTTGAAGGATGCACACAGCCTGCATGAATACAAGCTCAGAACAGCTAATTGTGGCAGTTCCTTCCAAACAGAAAACCTCTCCATGTCTTAGAGTCCTCTCTGGATGGGAAGATGGGTGTCCTGGTTCTCCAGCATCAGTCCAGACCCATGCAGTACTGCCCCCAAACTGGTTTATAATTAAATACTATTTTTTCCTGACATGTTTCAACTCTTCTGAGATTTTAGTATTATCCATACAAAATGGAGGCAAAATCACTACATATTTGACCTACCACATTTGATTTTTATTATAACAAAAATTATAATTCAATAAAATGCAGCAACAGAAATTTTTATTTCCTTTTTATACACTATATGTCACTAATCCTGCTGCTAACTTGTGGCTTTTGTAATTATTTTTAAACATTATTTAGCATGTTATCACAAGTCCAAGTACTATCTTTTAATCTGTATTTTGGCCATGGTCAAACAGAAAGTGATCCAAACCTGTTCAAATGACAGATGAAAACATAATAACCTTCATAACCTATTGTAGCCTATCTACATGTGTTTAAAACTGACTCTAATTGGCAGATACAAGCACTTAAACCAGTAGGAATGGATCAAAGGTATAGCGACTAAGTTCCCCTAGCAATGGACAAAATATTTTTGCATAGATGTGAATTTTCAGATGGGTCTACTGTTTTCCTGGTATTGCTGTACACGACTCAACAGCTGTTGTTTTCCACCCAGGAGATGGCTGTATTTCAGCGGCTGGTAAAGTGATACCTGTACATGTATTCAGGGCCTACTTTAAGATCCTTTCGTGTTAGTGATGTCATGAGATTTTCCTGGATGATTTTGTCTAAAACATGACACTGGATGAGTCTTCCATTTTAGATGATTTGAACTCTGCTAAATGTCTACAGAGACACAGCCTGTATGTTCCAATCCAAACACCTCATTTGGCACCAGTTGCCAATGTAGGAAGAAGAACAAAGAGAAAAAAAATCACCATGTTGTGACTGAGCTTTTGGAAAAGGCAGAGCATGAAAGAAAGATGGTAAAGCTGGAATATGACTGCACAACAGTGCAAAACGAATGAACAATCAAAAGCAAATTAAACAGTCATGAGACTGAGCTAAAATCACACTATTTGCGAAGGTTTCTAGCACGTTTGGGGAATTAATGCAGTTATTTTGTCACACCTATTGCAGCCGGACATGCTGATTGCCACTGCCACCCTCCCAAATGTGAGTCAGATCGCGCGAAGGCCCACGCTGCTTGTCTGAGGTCACCGCCCGCCAACCTCCCTCTAAAAATCAAACAGCTCATGCTGCACCATGTGCCAAGTGCTTACCCAGCCCCTGCCCGTGAGGCCTGCTGAGTCCTTTCCGGGGTTTCCTTCCTCTTCAGCGGCTGCAACACCATCTTCCCTCCCGCCTGCGCCCCAAGACAGACAGGGCTTTGACTCCCTTATCTGGGAACAAGGCTGTAAAGAGACAGGAAACTCTCTTAGAGCACGTACGAAGTTATCTCGAGATCAGAGGAATTATCGCAGCGGTCCGTTTTGTTCCTTAAAAAAATATGATC